AATTATGATGCCCAGAATTTGCTGCAGAATTCCCTCAGGAATATGGGGCACTGTACAGCTGTGATGGTGGTACTGTGAAGGGGGTGCTGGACAGTCGGGGATCTGTGGGTGGGGGAGCTGGGCAAGGGGGGTGGTGTTCAGGGAGCTGGGCGGTTGTGGGGGGTCAGCGGGGGGGGTCTCGGGGCAGAGGGTGCTGGGCATAGCGGGTCTGGGGGCAGTGGGCGTAGGGATCTGGGGGGGGAGGTCTCTGGGCGAGGGGGCGCCGGGCGTAGGGATCTGTGGGGGGAGGTTTCTGGGTGAGGGGGCGCTGGGCGTAGGGATCTGGGGGGGGAGGTCTCTGGGCGAGGGGGCGCCGGGCGTAGGGATCTGCAGGGGAGGTCTCTGGGCGAGGGGACGTGGGGCATAGGGATCTGTGGGGGGGAGGTTTCTGGGTGAGGGGGTGCTGGGTATGAGGGCAGGGCACTGGGCAGGGGGGCAGTGTGGAAGGGACACGCTGGGAGCGCAGGGCTGGGCAGGCCAGTATGCTTCTAGCAGTTGTGGGTTTGTAAACAATGCCCTTGTGCTGGGTTGAGTGGGGCCGCTCCCGCTGCGCCTCATTGCCCCCAACCGGCCCCTCACTCTGCAGCCCCCCCCCATCACATCCCCTATTTCCCCAATGGGGGCCCACAAATATGATTGGTGCCGAGCCCACAAAAAGTTAATTCAGCCCTGTTCCAGCCTCCCAAGAGTAACATGAGACAATGAAGACACAGGAAATGTCTGGTCGGTGTGCAGAGTTCAGAATCAGCCCATTTCTGAGAACAGGAAAATGAAACTAAATTCCTCTCTTCTCTGCAGAACCAGCCATGGCTGCTGCGAATCCAGCACAACTGCTCCTAGGTGAAGTGACTTGTTCGGTGTGTCTAGATTGTTTTAAAGATCCAGTGTCTCTAGATTGTGGACACAATTTCTGCCAGGCCTGCATCACTCAGTACTGGGAGGCATTGAGTACAAACTTCCGCTGTCCTGAGTGCAGAGAAACCTTCTCCCAGAGAAACTTCAAACCAAACAGGCAGCTAGGGAATATTTCCAGAAAACTTAAATGGGAGTTAACAGAAGAACGAGAAGTTGGGACGGTGTGTGAAAAACACAAGAAGGCTTTAGATGTCTTCTGTCAAGAGGATCAAACACCCATTTGTTTGGTTTGCCATCTGTCCCGAGATCACAAAGAACACCCTGTGGTTCCCATAGAGGAAGCTGCCGAGGATTACAAGGTAAGAAATCATGGGATGGTGTAAAAGCTGGAACGTCCAGGAACTGCATTTTAATAAAAAAAATTATGGCAAAAACCAGTGGATACAGTTAGACACACTTACGAACAATACGTTAGCAATGAGAACAGACTTATAACACACTGTTATTAACCTGTTCCGGCCCGAAACCATTTTTAACACCAATAAGGACCCAGAAAAGTCAGTTCTGAATTGCCCAGGGGCGGAAATGTATAACTTATATCCCAGTGCTATTACAGTGTAAGTGCTGCTGACCTGGGACACACATTCTGCTAGAAATGAAAAAACATCTTGTGTGCATGTGTTGTGCACTTGTCATGAATCAGTGCAGCCACAGGAACTGGTGGATTTTCCTGAAAAAAGGCACATGAAGGGGGAGAGGAAAAGTCTCCTGGCTGAAATGTGGCATACGAACAAGTGTAGTTGGCTTCAATATTGTCACCTCTTAAAAAATACCCGTAACGTCTGGAAGATCCCAACTTGCAGAGATTTCAGGGACCTGGCAGTACTGACACACAAACCCTTCCAGGGGACAGTGAAGGTCATACACATCACTAAGCATTGAGACTAATTCTGCTTTTCTGTTTTTCATACAGTATTTTTTATTTCTTGTGTAGTTTTGAGAAGAGTCGCTCTCATACGTGCAGCTGGGTCTGTTAATTTTCACTGGTAATTTTTAGATAGGCCTCAATGTTTTGCTCCACAACTTTTGACAGTACAGATGGCATTGTACGACCATGAGATCTCAAGGGATATTTTCTCATATTCCTATAGGGCACACATGGGTCAGGTGTTTCCAACTAATGAACAATCACTTTGTCCACATTTCCACCAAGAACTTCATATCCGTATCAATGACACAAAACCTCATCTGTATTGATCAGTCTTTGGAAATATCTCTTCCTTACCAGAGGCTCCCCTGTTGGGAAAAGATGTGTTCCTCTGTGGATCCATTTGTACTGATCACACCTCCAGTCATCTTTTTTGTCCTTTTGCCCTTCATAGCTGTATGCAAGCAGCTGTCCATTTTTTGTCTTAGAAGCTGGAAGAGTCGATATTTTGTCTTTTATAGGATTTCTTAATGTGTCCAGTGATTCTTGCAGTGAAAGTGTCCCAATTTATACATAGAAACTGAACTACACGCACTGGAGGAAAGAAAGACTAAACAATCTCTTTGTGCAAATCAGATTAGAGTTGCGGGTGAGACACACTGACTGGACAATTGTCGAGACACAACCGATGATAGAGTAGGATGATTAAAGTAGAATAATGTATTGCATTTAAGCAACACGCATCCCAACTCAGTGATTAGCAACAGTGATAAGGACCTAGGAGGTTAGTGACCTACATATGTGCCATGCAACTATACACACATGGATTTCCCACCCTCTAAACCAGGGGTCCTCAAACTGTGCCTCAGGACCCCTCAGGGGGTTGCGAGGTTATTATATAGGGGATTGAGAGTTGTCAGCCTCCACCCCAAACCCCGTGTTGTCTCCAGCATTTATAATGGTGTTAAATATATTAAAAAGTGTTTTTAATATATAAGAGGGGGTGCACTCAGATGCTTGCTGTGTGAAAGGGGTCACTGGTACAAAAGTCTAAGAACCCCTGTTCTAGGCAGCTCTGTGCATTCTCGACACCGACTGAGAGCTACGTGCCGGGGGAAGGTCAAGGTTCCAAACTGCAGAGGAGCAGAGGTGAAAATGGGGTGAAAACAGGTGTTCCCACAGGTACATGCGTTCTGAAGCAGCAAGAAAGTGAGTATTTGCCCCCATAGAATACCCACCCTGTCCCCCTCACTGCCTGCTCCCTGGCCCCATTTCTGTGGGAACATCTTAGCTGGTCTAGGAGTGAGCACTGAAAGTGCTCAGTGAGGGAAGAGTGAGATCAGAGGAAGGAAATGGACTTGCAGGGGGCAGAGAGACAAGGTGGGGGAGGTGATACCTTTGATTGGACCAACTTCTGTTGGTGAGACAAGCCTTTGAGCTTACACAGACAGAGGTACACAGAGAGAGGCAGCAAATCAGCTGCAAAGCAAAAGGGAGCAAGAGAGACTCAGAGTTTTTCCCCAGAGCCAGGCAGTAGGAGGGAAACAACTCATTGCCATCCTCTGGGCCCCTTCGGAACAGAGTGTTTGATTAATAATTAACCCTTCATTGCACAGAGCAGGCAGTGAAAGGCTGGTTTGGCTGGTTTTTTCAGCAGTACTGTGCTGCTCTCACCTGTGTTACATGCAGCATTTTTGTCCCCTGGGCCACTTTGGAACCAAGTGATCTGGGTGGTTTTAGTAATAAAGCGAATTATGCCCCGAAAACCCAAGTTAAAGGTCGGTTCAGACGAGTTTCTCATTAGCATTGTATCAGTCTCCCCTGTATGTGCTGCATGTAAAACTGGTCCCCTGAGCCACTTCAGAACTGACGGTTCAGTCTCCTCCTTGGTTTTAAAGTGGTTCTGGGCTGGAATGGGTTAATGACAGTCGGCTGTTAATCAGTTCTCATGACTACAATAATGTTCCCAATGTCGTCTGACTGTTTCCGCTGCGGTGTTTTAAATCAGTTTTATTTATTAAAATACTGTTCCGGCCATTGCCCTTTATTTTGGTCCCGTGAGCCACTTCGGAGCTGAGTCTGCGGGTGGTTTTATGAATAAAGCTGTTTGTTGAACAGGTGGGTTGTCAGCGGTGTTCTGTAGTACAGCATTATTCTCAGTTGTGTAACCCTTCTGCCCATCTAAGTTGGCAGCAACAAGGGCCGGGTTCTGTATCTAGGGGTTCCGTTTCAATAACACAATGCAAAACCGGCTCGAGCCCCCACCCAGTGACCTGGGACAATTACATACCACCCCCTGGGTGCCTCTAAGAGGCAATACTTCCCCTCTCGCAAGCACGGAGTCTGAAGTGTAACAAAAAATGTTTAATAACATGAGGTAAACGACATCAGCATTAAATTGGAAAAAACACTACAAACAGGATTCATAACACAAACCATGAGCAAAAAAAAACCCACCCCAGCAAGTTGGGCTGTGTCCTTTCCCTTGGGTTCTTGAAACCAGCAACCCAAGGATCACCAAAGTCCCAAAAGTCCAACAACCCCCCAAAGTCTCTGTCCCTGGTCAGTGCAGCCCCAGAGTTTGGGGGGGCATACAGGGCATTAAGGGGCACCTTACGTGATCCGAGGCCGACAGGGTTCCGCTGCAGCCTTCACCACGAGCCGCTCCACTCCACCAGCTGTCCCGTGAGCTGCTCCCGCCGTCCCACGAACTGCTCTGGCAGCTGCTCCGCTCTGCTCACCGACCTGTGAGCCGGTCAGCTCTGCTCCACTTCAGCCATCCCTTGGGCTGCTCCCACAAGGCTCCGCTCCGCTAGCTGCTCCTCCAGCCACTCTGCTCCACTCACCGATCTGTGAGTCGCTCAGCTCCACTCCAACCGTCCCGCAAGGCTCCATTCTGCTAGCTGCTCCACCAGCCGCTTAGCATTATAGCTTCAGGCTCCCCCACTAGCTAACACAGCCTCAGCGATCTCAGTTCTTTTGTGATTTCAGCTCTTAGCAATTTCAGCTCATAGTAGGGGAGCCCCAGTGCTAGTGCACCATTGGCCCAAAGTGAATTCAGCTCAGCAGTCTGTAACTAGATTCCTAATGGAATCAAAGTTAGCTCTGATATTCAACAGTAGAGAAAAGAGATAGTGCAATTGGTGTTTCAACCCCTCAGAGAAGGGCCCATACCATCAGGTACAAATACTTGTCCCCATCCTCTCTGTTTTCACTGGGTTTTGTAACCCATGCCCCTTGTCAAGCAA